GGCGAGGAACCGCCTGGAGTTCTTCTTGATTCTGCGCCTCTGCGCAGCATCTTGCTCAACCATCTCTTCTCCTTCGAGATAACGGTACGTGTCCCGCACATGAGGTTCCATGTCTTCCAGCATACCTCCTTTCGCAAAAGCGGCAGCACATACCAGGTCCCCTTCATCCTCCTCGCGCCTGCCATCGTCTTTTCGTAGACGCGAGAGAAAGTCAGCGGCACAATTCTTTGAGCCGGGGCGGTACAATATCTCGAATTCGTACTCCGCCAGGAAATCCAACCAGCGGGCAAGTCTACCGTGGATGTCCTTCTTTTTGAACGCATACTGAAGCGCTTGGTGATCCGTAATCAACTTGAACTTTTGCGTTGAGAGCAAATACACCCGAAATTTCTTTAGCGCGAAGATCACCGCTAACGCTTCTCTCTCACAGGTGGGGTACTTCCTCTCAGTCTCCGTCATCGTCCTGCTGGCGTATTGTATCGGGTGAACCTTCTTGTCTTCCTTCTTCTGAGCCAGAACTGCTCCCACTGCCATGTTGGATGCATCTGTCTCAACCACGAAGGGTTCGTCAAACTTCGGGAGCGCCAACAGCGGAGGAGACGTCACCCTCTTCTTCAACTCCTGGAAGGCGGTCCGCATCCCTTCCGTAAATTCAAATTCGACTTTGGTAGAAGTAGCAGCATGCAACGATGCAGAGACTTCTGCGAACTTAGGGATAAATCGGCGGTAATACCCCGCTAGTCCAAGGAAGCTTCGTAACTCCGTCTTGGTGCGCGGCTCGGGGGTGTCCCAAATGATCGATGTCTTCTCTGGATCCACCTCAATCCCTTTCTTTCCGATGACGTGCCCCAATAGCCTGGTCTGTGATTGCGCGAAGGAACACTTCGCAAGCTTCAACTTCAATCCACTGCGAGCAATCAGCTCGAACACTTCAATTAAATGGTCAACATGGACGTCCAAGGACTTTGAAAAGATAACCACGTCATCAAGGTAAACTCGGACGAATGGCAGGTCTCTGAATACGCCATCCATCATCCTTTGAAATGTTGAAGGAGCGTTCATGAGCCCGAATGGCATCACTTCAAATTGAAAGGTCCCGTACCGACAGACAAACGTCGTCTGTTCTTTGCACCATGAAGCCATCCGCACTTGCCAATAACCCGAGAACAAGTCCAGGGTAGTGAAAACTTTGCTTCCTTCAAGGTTGTCGAATATCTCTTCCATTTTGGGCAACGGCCACTTGTCGGCCTTCATCACCCGGTTAAGCGCGCGGTAGTCAACACAGAAGCGAGGTTTCCCGTCCTTCTTCGTTGCGATGACGACCGGAAACGACCAAGGAGCTACAGAGGGGGTAATGATCCCTGCCTTCTGCATCTTCTCGATCTCCTCGCGCACTACCGCGTTGTGTCTCGGAGGGAGCCTCCGAACGGCGTGCGAAATGGGTCTGTCGTCATTTAACTCAAAAGAATGTGACACAGGGACATCTGCCGGCCTGAGGTCGTCCAAAGACCATGCAGCTATTCCCATACTCTTGATAGATCGTATTATGCGGTCGGCGTTCTCTCTGCTGATATGGCTCAGCTTAGACATGAGAAGTTCCTCCTTCTCATCTCTCTTCTCTTTCTCATCCGCCGGCTCGTACTCTGAGCCTTCCCCAGCTAGGTCCGGAAGTCCAGCATGAGGATCTTCGTCGTCAGTGACTGCTCCCGCCCAGGCAAGGTCTGGTTCAAACAGCACCCTTTCACGCAGCGAAAGGACGAAGTCTTCATCCGTGTCAGTCGAGTCAGCCGGCACGGCCCCCGAGTCTGACGTGAAGTCCTCACTGTCGGTAGCGGATCCAGGCTTCTTATGGTTTTCATCCATCTCAAGACTTAGTCGAATCGTCTCATCACCCACAGTTACTTGGACATGCTGTTGCCCCAAATCAATGCACGTTTGGAGCTCCTCTAACGACGGCATCCCCACGATGACGTCGTACGGTGTTCCCGTAACGACAAGAAAGTCCATCATGCTCACCAGTCCCCCAAACGAGACGGGGACCTGGCGCAGTGATCCAACACAAGGGGAGCTCTTCCCATCTGCCACAGTGATGTGTTTCTTCGTACTCTCTGGCGTCAGAGAAAGTCTCTTCATGAGGTGTGGCGACATAATGTTCGGCACCGCACCCGAATCCAATAGTGCTTGAGCATCAGTTCCATAAACTTGAACAGTAACTACCCGAAGACGCCTCGGGAAGACATCCGTGTGGCCCGCAAACCCGCGAGAACGCCCTAATCTCCTGGATAGAAGGCGCTTCATCTCCTTCCTTGCTCCTTCAGCGTCTCCACGGACAAGTTGTCCAAATGTTAGACCAGACGGCGCATTCGCCAGCTCTGACACGACGTTGTACTTGCCGACGTGCTCCTGGAGTGCAGCCTTCTTTGAAATATTCTTCTTCTTCTGGCGTGCAGGCTTCACTCTCGGCACTCTCAGCGGCTCATTCCAGGGGAGAGTTCCCCTAGGAGCTACTGGAGTGGGATTCAGCAGCCTCGGGATCGAAACTTCTTCACGGTTCTTCGACTGCTTCGGCAAGGCCTCTCCTTCGGCGTTGCGTTTCGTAGCTGCCACCAATTCTCCCTTGGTGGTCTCAGTTATGACCGTGACTTGCTTCGAGTCTCTGGTGGCCTTGTCACCGGCGTCGTTGGCAGAACCGCCTGCTTTGGGGCCATAAGCGCTTCCTGCGCCAGCGTTACCTTGAGGACGTGCATGAGCCACATTCTTTCTAGCAAAGCGGGACCAGCAAGTCTCCGTCGTGTGTCCAATCTTCCCACACGTTGGGCAACGAGTATCTCGGTGTGGGTTGGAACGACAACGAGTCGCTGAATGCCCTGGTTCCTTGCAATAGGAACATGTCCAACTCGTATCACTGTCCCCTGGCGTCTGTCGTTTCTTCATCATCAGTGACAGTTCCGCCAGCTGCTTGGTGATGGCGTCAACCTTGTTCTCCAGCTTTTCCTGTCGAGGATCCACATCAGAACGCACCAGTACGCGCTTGGGCGTCACAGGTTCAACGGACTGCGCAGCAGTTTTCGCCGCCTTGAAGGCGTCACGGCCTGCAGCGAAGTCCTTCACGGTCTTCATTAGTTCTTCGTACGTCGTCGGAGAACGATAGATTGCAAACTGAGCAACATCCAAATGTGCCATTACGGCATTGCGAAGCAAGCCGTACTTCGCCTCGTCGTTGAAACCAGCCCTTCTGTAGAGCTTGTTCATTTCATCCATCGAAGTAAGCAAGTTCTTACCATCCAGTCGGCAACTCATAGCCTTCTGGATGTTTTCTTCTGGCCTCGGTGCCTCCGTAAAACGGTCAGACAGGGCGCTCTTCACACCGTCCCAGTTACTGGCGGCCTCGGTCAGACTCCCATTATGACTATACGTTTCATAGTAATAGTCGAACGCGGCACCCTCGAGGTGGCATAGGATAGCTCCTGCCTTCTCCTCGTCAGGCTTGCCGCGCATAATGATGTTCTCGTATACGAACAGAAACTTGGAAACATCTGACCCGTTAGACCCATCGTAGGTAACAGGTTTAGGGTCCGCACTTGTCTCTGCGTCGGCCCTCCACAAGAGTACCATGTTGGTTGTGAAATGGAGGAGGCGGTTCTGGGGAGCGTGCCGTTCGTGGTGAGGGTTGGCCGAGTGGTGTCCCCCCTTCCCCGCAGCGCCCGTCACCCTCTCTCTTTTATTTCTACGAAATTCCTTCCAGAAGCGTCCACGCATCCGGCCCGGATTCCGCCGGGCCGTCCGCGTGCGCTTCTCTAAAATTCAAATAAAATCTCGGACTACAGAATAAAATCTCCCTCTACAGTAAAATGCAAATTTTCCCTAAAAATATCTCACATACACCGACGCGAAAAGCGCTGCAAATACGCATGTCTGTCCACACCCTTTCTACACTGGAGTCATATTGTCGTACTGTAGTATGCATGTCTCGAGGTCAATTTTGAGTACCCGCGCTGTCCACTCCAATAATTGTCCTGCCCATGTGCAGTCTGGTTGCGCCAAAACTGGCTTACTGTTCTATTGTGTCCCTCGTGGTGTACTGCCTTTATAATTACAGTACGATTGTAATCGGCTTTCTATAGATAAGTCACTGTACAAGTTTCACACTGTAAAAACGAATGTAGTTTTCGTGATGTCACGAAATGAAAGCACGGCTGTCAACAGCCGTGCTTTCATTGCATTGTAGCTCCGTCCATTATTATCTTTTGTGTTCATGTGAAAGCTAAAAGTTTTCATGGTGTCGTTATATTGTAGCTTCAGTGCGCACTGTAGTGTTTGGCGGTGGTTTGGAAGGTGCAATTTCACATGCCTCATCATTTGAACGCACGTTGTTGTTCTTTTAGCGAAATGTCGGTGTCAAAAACGCGAGATGTTGACTCACTGCAGGAATATTGATTTAATTGTGACGTTGCGCATTGCCAAAAATGAATGTCTCAAAAAACGTCATCCAAACGGCCTCACTGTCCGGCAGTGACGAACAAATTTGGGCGTCCGGTGATAAGCGCGGTTGTGTCGCGTGCGAGCGGGCATTTGTGGCGGTTGGCGGGGAATGGCGGGGTGCAACTTGCCCGTCACGCACACGTGTCGATGCGTTGGCCGGCATCGTCTGGGGGCTGTTGGCAACGGATCGGTCAGCGAGGCAGTATGCGTGTGTGCCAACCCGCGCGCCATGGCGCCCGCCCATTGGCCGCCCGGCAGTCCGCTTCGCTTCGAGACACGCCCCCGCGCCTCCACGCGCCTGCGCCACTAGCCCGCGCCCTCATACGCCGCTGCTATCCGCATCGTGCACCATTTTCTAAAAAAAACCGTATCGTCACCCGCAACCACTCAACCGTCCGCAACTCACATTCCCTCGTCTTTCAGTTGCCAGTTCCATTCCCCCCCTCCCCTTCGTTCCCCCCCCCCCCCCCCCCCTCCGTCCCACCGTAGCGCATGCAACCCCCCCACCCGCACGCACCATGTCCGCGCAGAAGCCGACGCACGAGTCCGTGTACGCGCACCTGCCGTACGTCGCGGCGCTCACGACGTATCTAGGGTACGCCGTGCTCATCGTCTTCGGGCACGTGCGCGACTTTGCCGGCAAGCTCTTCTGCATCGGCACGCTAGCGCACCGCATCCTCGGCCAGCGCGACGGCCGCGCGCCCCTGCTCTCGGACTTTGAGGACTTCTACACCCGCCGCCTGTACCTGCGCATCCAGGACTGCTGGGGCCGCCCCATCCGCGGCACCGCCGGCGCCTGGATTAACGTCCTCGAGCGCGTCCAGGAGCGCGCGTGGAGCCCCGTGCCGGAGCGCAGCGTCCGCCCGTATCGCACGCTCGCTCGCGTCGCCCAGAGGAGCAAGGCCGGCAGGGAGGGCCCCACAGACCCTACCGGCAATGTTACCCGCTGTTTGAACTTGGGGAGCTATAACTATTTGGGCTACGCGGAGGTTCCCGGGGGGGTCCATCAGTCGGTCCGTGATGTGCTCCGCGGCGCTGGCGTCGCTGCGTGCGACGTCGCCGTGTCCACGGGCAGGTCCCAGGTCGTGCGGGAGCTCGAGGCTACCGTGGCCGAGTTTTTGGGCAAGGAGGCCGCCTTTGTTGTCGGCATGGGCTTTGCGACCAACAGTCAGATCATCCCCGCCATCGTCGGGAAAGGCGATCTGATATTGTCCGACGCGCTCAATCATGCTAGCATCGTCGTCGGCGCGAGGTCATCGGGCGCCAAGATCAGGACCTTTGAGCACAACTCCGCCAAGAGCCTGGATGAGATGATCCGCGACGCCGTGGCCACGGGGCAGCCGGTGACCTGCAAACCGTGGAACAGGATCCTTGTCGTCATCGAGGGTATGTATTCAATGGAGGGGGAGGCGTGCAAGCTACGGGAGATCGTCGCTGTCAAGAAGAAGTATGGCGCGTATTTGTATTTAGACGAGGCCCATTCCATCGGCGCGCTCGGCCCCACCGGCCGGGGCGTCGCCGAGCATCACGGCATCAACCCGAGCGACATCGACATCATGATGGGCACATTTACAAAGTCATTCGGTGCAGTCGGTGGGTACATCGCGACCAGTGCGGCGCTCGTGGAGAGGATCCGCGCGTTGTCGGCCGCGTCGCTGTACGCGTCGGCCATGGCCCCGCCATGCGCACAACACATCCTATGGGCGTTCAATCAGATGGCGGGTAAGGACGGGACAGGAATTGGCGCAGGTAAGATCCGTGCGCTACGGGTGAATGCCATTTATTTCCGCGAGCAGTTAAGGAAGATGGGTGTGCAGACGCTCGGCGACTGGGACTCGCCCGTGATCCCGATCATGCTGTACAACCCTGCCAAAATCGCGGCTTTTTCGAGAGAGTGCTACAAGAGGGGGCTCGCCGTCGTTGTGGTCGGGTTCCCTGCCACACCGTTGCTGCTGTCTAGGGCGCGCATCTGCTTGAGCGCAGCGCACACGAGGGAGGACCTCGACTGGGCGCTGGGCGTCATTGACCAAGTTGCGGAGATCATTCAGATCAAGTATGACCGGTCGCTTCTGCACCGCGTTCTACCCAAGGCTGTGTCACGGCTGCTGGTGCGTGGCGGTGACGACGTCTAAGGTTTATGTTATGTGTCTCGCATCCCACCAGGGGCAGGAAGGCGCGGAAGGTACGGCAGGGCGGTGTCGGGGGGTGGCGGGAGGGTACGCTGCACGGCGTCGGGTATTGGTGGAAAGCTTTTCGTCTTTCTTCCAGCGCCGAGTGTGAAAGTGGTTTTCGACGTTTTCAACGCCGCAGTCCCCTTTTTTTTCATATTTCGCTCGATATCCCGCGCAGTCTTGCCTCGTTCCTTAATTAAATGTCCTTATCACCAATAGATACCGTTGGTGTGGAAGAAGGGCTTCCCTACTTAAAGCCACGAGTTGCCTTGTCGTCCGTTTCCCCTGCGGATGCTTCGACACAAAACATTGTCGCACATCAACATAGGCGAGGCCCCCTCCCCTCAGCTCACAACGATGCCAGGACGACGCCACACCCAGGGACCCGATAGACATGACGACAACAACGCGGCAGAGCTGTCAGGACGACCTGGATCAGCGGACATGGAGAGACGTAGGTCCACAGAGATGCACCATGCTCTCTCTTACGTCAGCAAGGTCAAGACTCGCTTTGCGGAAGAGAAGCACATATATGATGCATTTCTTGAAATTCTTCGTAAGTCCAAAGAAGGCAACACGAACAAGGATATCTGCGAGCAAGTGTCGGAATTGTTTGGGGAGCACAGCGATCTTGTAGAAGGCTTTTCAAACTTCCTACCGGACAGCTTACCAGCATAATCATTGATCTACTGTAGTTAGTTATGCTGCAGATTTACAAAGCGTATTTGCTGCTACTGCTTGATTCGACTCTGTACTTAGCAATACAGTCTTTACCATCCGTCGCACGCCAACATCAACAAAACACTCTCTTTTCCACCCTAATTTGTTGCGGGTAACGCTCCTTCACGTCTCCACCAACAAGAAAAGCGGTCGTGTCCGGTATTGCATGCCAGCGCGTCGGACATGCCCTCTCCCGCAGTCGTCAGTCAAAGAGAATAAAAGATCATTCCACCCAAAATATCTCCCGCCTGTCCACTATGAGCCGTCACTATCTGACGGCTGTCACCCTCAAACGGCCATCACCCTCCGACGGCTGTCACTCCCTTCGCCACGTCCGCAACGCTCTCATGGAAATTCGTTGCTAGCTGAAACGCATGCCCCACCCGCAACACGGCCTCCTCGCGCATAAACGGCCCGACCACTTGCAGTCCGACCGGCAAGCCGCGAGCCATGCCGCATGGCACGGACAGAGCGGGCAGCCCAGCCAAGCTGGGTGGGATCGTCATTACGTCCTCCAGCAGCATGTCCACAGCGTCGTCCGTCTTCTCCCCGATACGGAACGCGGGCGTGGGTGCGACCGGCATGACCAGTGCGTCCACACCGCCCGCGAATAGCCCCTGGAACCGCTGCATCACCATCCCGCGCACGCGCTGCGCCCGCACGTAGTACGCGTCGTAGTACCCCGCCGACAGTGTGTACGTGCCGGCCATGATGCGCCTCTTCACCTGCCGGCCGAAGCCCTCGGCACGCGACCGCGCGTACATCGCGCCGGCGTCCTCGGCCATGTCGGCGCGCGCGCCAAATCGCACTCCATCGTACCGCGCCAGGTTGGCCGACGCCTCGGAGAAGGCGAGTACAAAGTACGCGGCCATGATGCTTCTCAGGTCAGGCAGCGACACGTGGCGAATAGTGGCGCCAAGCCGTCGCATTGTACCCACGGCCTCCTCCACGCGCTGTCGCACGTCCGCGTCTACGCCGTCGCCCAGCGCCTCCTGTACCACGCCGAGCGTGACGCCGGACAGGTCTGCATGCTCCGGCAGCGAGCGCAAGTAGTCGGGCACGGCGGCGCTGGTCGTGTTACCGTCCATGCGGTCCGCGCCGCCGATCGTTTGCAGCGCCAGCGCGGCGTCCGCGACGGATCGGCACAGCGGGCCGACGGTGTCGAACGAGGACCCGTACGCGAGGAGCCCGTGCCTGGACACACGTCCGTACGAAGGCTTGAGCCCCGTGACGCCGCAGTATGCCGCCGGCTGTCGGATGGAGCCGCCGGTGTCCGAGCCGAGCGCGAGCGGGACTTCTCCCGCGGCGACGGCGGCTGCCGAGCCGCCAGATGAGCCGCCGGGCACGCGGCGCAGGTCCCACGGGTTCCTCGTGGCGTGGTACGCGGAGGTCTCCGTGGACGAGCCCATGCCGAACTCGTCCATGTTGGTCTTGCCCAGCACGACGGCGCCGGCGTCGAGCAGGCGAGCCACGACAGTGGCGTCGTACGCCGGGGAGAAGCCGTCCAGGATCGCCGACGCGGCTGTGGTAGGCTGCCCAGCCGTGCACAGGTTGTCCTTGACGGCGACCGGGACGCCGGCCAGCGGGCCTGGGTCGCGGCCGGCGGCGACGTCGCGGTCGATGGAAGCCGCGCGGGAC